TTTGACTTGCCGGGGGAATAGGAACCGGACTGACGCTCCCCAGAATGGATATGGAGCCAGGACCATAAGGACCTGTTTAAAAAAAAAAAAAAAAAGAGAAAAAATTTCAAAAAAAAAAAAGAAGAAAGATTAGCATGGCCCCTCTGCAAGGACGACACAAAAATCGAGAAATGGTCCACGTTTTAGAAAAAAAAAGAAAAAAGAAAAAAGAAAAAAAGGAACCGGACTGATGCTCCCCAGAAGGGAAAAGGAGCTGGAACCGTAATCTCCTGTTTGTTTTTTTTTTAACAAAAAAAAGGAACTCGTAGAAAGCATGGAGAGACTCTTTGATTGTATGCCTTAGGTATATGCCTTTAGGATTTTCCTTACCTTAAGCACACTTGCAGCATAGTACAGAACGCTTGGCTGACCTGTAACCTGTACAGGAGGAGTGAATTTCCCATTGTTAGCAAACCTGATCACAGCAGATGGAACAGCAGAGCCTTAATTTACCTTTCCCCTCATCTCCTTACCCTTCACTTTCTTTTTTCCTACTTTCACAACAGGAATTATCCCACACAATAAAAATAAGCCCTCAAACCTGACATGCACCCCAGGAGTCTGCGCCGGATGTCCATGGCCTGGTTTGTCTGGCCCCATCCCAGCCAACTGGTCTTCTAGAAATCCGGAGGTCCGACCGCAGGTCCAAGGTCGAATCCTAGCTGTGCATGCCAGGAGGGCCCCAAAGAAACCCCGTTTTGTAATCTGTTTCCGCAACTTCTTTCATGTATATACAGTGTCATTGTCATATAACGATCAACTAAAAGAGCGCACTTTACTCCCCCGCCATCCCTTTTCATCTATATTCCTGACACTTGTGTTTTCTGCTTGCCGGTAATAAGCAACCGGAGTGACGCCCGCCCGAATACAAGGGGCACTTATTCGAAAAAAGAAACAAAAAAAAGGGAAAAAAAAAAGAGTGCACTTCGCTAAACAAACGAGAAAAATAGGAGACAACATGAAGCACACTGGAACCGTCCATTCGCCTTGTCCTGCGCAGTTTGTTCTTCCTTTTTTTTTTTTTTTTTTTTTTTTTTTTTTTTTTTTAA